GGCTCCATAAATATCAAAACACACCCTGCTGCTATTTCACTAAAATATCACTAAAGAGAGGAACTTGAGAGTTAGTGTCAACCTCACCTTTGTTGAAGCTGTTATTTGGCCTGTCATTAGTAGCCTACAGGTATTATAGGCTGGCACTTCTAACTTGTACTTGGCTAATTTTAAGAAAAATATTAACATCAGAGAGAAAAAGAGGAGAAAAGAAACTTGCTATTATGGAGGCCGCAACAATGGGAATACAGTGTTAGTTACAGTTTTGAGGGAATGATTTAATAATATTTAATAATACACCTTTTTCATGGGTTCCCCAATTTAAAAATGTATGGTAGAGTTTATGTAAAAAGCCTTATGTCTATGCATTTATATATGTTTATATTTATAATTACATATAGTAGTATTTGCTTTAAGCCAATTGCTTTTTTCTTTACTTTTGCATTGGGGTTATTATAGGGTTATGAATGTAGTAATGCTTCTTTTCTAAACTTCATCATTGGCTGACAACATTTATTTTAGACAAAACGAGATTAGTTGCTTTACTTCTCACTAGGAAATTTACAGATTTGTTTAAACTAAATTAGGAAGGATTTGGCAGATCACTACCATCTTTCCAAATCAATGAAACTGTATGCACGTATAAATTATACATACATACAAATAATATGTATATATTATTTCAAAAAATGATATGTATATATTATTTCAAGATCACTTAGGAATTATAGCAGTCCTTGCCACTGCTACATTGCTTATCTAAATTAATTTAAATTACATAGTATTCAATTGAACCAAGAACAAATTCTCATTCTAATGATACTAACCAATAGTCATTTGATAGAAAGTTTGTACACCCAGATTTTAGTTGTAAATATATTGCACTGATTTAAATAGGGTAACTGTTGAGTAGACATGTATAGGATTGCAGCCTTAAGTAGAAAAGTGGGTAAAGGTGTTTTGCTCAGAGAAAACTAAGGGAAGAAAGCTTCAGGGGACTAGGGAAGAAAATACTGTACTTACTACCCCTAAGTCTGAGTGTCCCACTAAATCCAAGCAAAAAAACCATCTTCCTTGGGGTTGTCTTATTTCTGGGGGTATTTTTGCCCCTGTACTTTGTGCTTCTAACTGTCCCTTACAGCAACTTCCACAACCAATATCTACCTCCCATCAGATACTTCAAACCAACCCTTTTTCATCAGTCTGCTAGGGGTGCCCACTCCCCCCACCAATATCAACAAGGTGCCTTCTCCCCCTACTAGTATCCTTCTCTGGCTCTCACCCATGGAGAGGTGTGATGGCCATCAGCTCTTGCCAAGGAAACACCTTTCACTAAAACCAACAACCCCAGTCCATATTACTTCAGCCAGTCTACCAGGTCTGCTTACAAAAAGGTCAGCTCACAAAAACCTCCATGGCTAAAGAACCTAGTTTCCATAGGCAGACTATCTTCCTGACGCTCCGATCTTACTATCAAGTTGTTCCTTATATTTAAATGAAATGTAGGTAGGTGCAACGTATTGCCATTATTTCTGGTCCTTGTTTCTATGGCAATGGAAAATAATTCCTGACCATCTTCCCTATGGTACCTTTTAATGTACTTGAACACCAATATCACAACTCGCCTTGTGTTATGTTTTCCAGGTTGAAGATCCTAAGCCCCTTCAGCCTGTCCTTGTAGGGAATATTCTCAAGTCCCTGTATTAAGCTTGTCACCCTCCTCTGAACCTGATCTAAACTGTCAATCCCCTTCTCAAAATGTGATGCCAGAATTGTCCACAAAAGTCCAGATATGATCTCAGTAATGCAGAAGAGAGAATAAGGACTATGTATTTTTTTTTGTACAGCATTTCTTCTGATGCTATTAGAGACTGCAACAGCCCTCCTAGAAACTATCTCAAACTGCTGTTTTGTGGTCAGCTTATCACCCAAGTCCTTCTTTAATGTACTGTTTCCAAGCCATGAATCTCCTTGCTTGTATGTGTGCTCTATATTTCCCACCATAAATATAATATCTTAAATTTCTCCCTGGAGATTTTGTTGTCTCAGCCCAGTCTTTCAACTTGTTCAAACTTTATTATACTGTAGTCTTGCCAAACTTCCTAAGTATTAGCCAAATATCCTTGTCATTCACAAATCTGATAAGCATCTGTCAATCAATCTTATAATCCAGATCATTGATAACAAAGTTGAAGAATTCTGACCCCAACACACAATGAGACCCACTGGTTATTATTGTCCATCTTGATGTAAAACTAGCAGTGATTTTTCTGAACATGGTTAGCCAGCCAGATGTGGACCTATCTTATTGTAGTGTCAATGCAAACCACACTATCACAGTTCATCAATGAGAACATCATGTGGAACTTTGTCAAAAGCTTTGCTGAAATCAAGGTAGATTATATCTACAGTATATTCCCTTGCCAATAAGGAGTTACCTTCTCAGAGAAGGAGATGAGATTTGCCTTACATGACACATAGCAAGTCTTCAAATTCCATACAAATAGTATGCTCAATATTTGTATGTCTGCTTTAAGATCTTTTCAGGTATTATGTTAGCTCACTGATAATTACTGGGATTCTCTTTCTTCCCTTCTAGAAGAATGGGGCCAAATTTGTTCTTCTGTGGCGCTCTGATATCTCCTTTATTCTCCAGATCTCCTCAAAGATAATGAACAGACCTCATGAGACTCTTCCACCAGTCCCTTCCATATTCTATTGTGCATTTCATCAGGCCATAGGGGTATGAGCATTCAAATTAATTAGAAGACTGTTTACCACATAATTTCTGACTTCTTCCCTTACCTGTAGTGTTCATTCCTAGTCTATGATACTCAAATCATTTTATTTTATTTTTTTGGCTGAAAAGGCAAGAGTGAAATAGGAGTTCCTTTGCTTCTGTTGGCCATTCCTCCATCTAGAATGAAGAGCAATCCCAATGCCTCTTTTGACTTTCTTTTGCAACTGAAATGTTTGAAGAAATCCTCTTGGTCTAACATAGGTAGTCAGTCACGCCTCCTGCACTTTCATTTCTTATTTACTCCTTGCTAATGAATTCCTTGCTAAACTCCATTGTCAAATCAACAGATGTTGATTTGGCCTCCAGAAAAAGCCATGACTGCTTACAAAACAGGCAGGGCAATGCTAAGGATAGAGGACAAACCATAAAATATTTACTGGGGTCCTCTTGCGAACACCTTGACTGCAACCATTTCAGCTGACCCCAATTGTGCTTGGTATTTATGAAATCAGAATGGGGAGGGAAATCTAAATTAGACATTTCAGAACAACTCTTCCCTATTCCACTTTTTTACATCATGCAAGAACCAACAATAACTGAAGTCTTATCACAAATTAATTTCTGAAGAGCACTACCAAAGCAATTTCCTTGATGACTCATAACGATTTTCAGAAGCAGATCTAGCACTGATTGACGTTCTGATGGGCATACTTGAAACTTCTCAGGTTTCAGAGAGTTTGACTTGCCATATCCAGGAGAAGCAGCGGTTGAGCCCCACAGCAGAACGCTTTACTGCTAGGATATATCATAGCAAGCCGTTTCTGGCATTCTGCCACAAGGGAAGCCAGCTGCTCAGGTTCACCTGCAGCCATCTCAAAGAAGGCCGCCTGCATCCTCAACCTTTACCATCTTGGAAAATCTTGCTGCCTTCTCACAGAGTACCAGCTTGCATCTGCTGGGAAGATACCATCCCTCACGAAGGGGACGCTCTAGTAGGGTTGTAAGTGGCATCTCAAACAAACAATAACGTAGAAAACGGGAAGATTTTCTTCCTGAAGCTAGAGCAGCCAGATTTCGCTTCCAGGAAGTAGATCGAAGGCCTGAGAGATTTGCAGAGAATGATGGCAGCCCCCTCCCTCCTCCTCCTCCCCCAAATATATCATTCCCCTCCTTTGCCTAGGCAGGCACTGAATCTGCTCCCCAGGTGGATGTTTGCACGTTGGCGTGGAGATGAACGCCGCTCACAGCCGAACTCCCCTTTGCCCCGCCTCCCGAGCGAGAGGATTGGGCGGATCGAAAAAAAGGGGGCTGCCATTGGGTCTCGCAGGGCTGCCCATCTGGCTGCCCCGTTTCAGGCTCGGTTGCATCACAGCGTGCGGATGCTGCTCTCTTCGAGCCAAAGCCAGAGCAGCGGCGGCGAAAAGGCGATGCTGCTGCCAGGGCATCGCTCCGAGCCGAGCGCGCAAGGCGGGAGTAGGCAACCCAGCAGCTCCGGCTTTGCATCCGCAACGAAAATCCTCTAAAGTGCAGGCCGAGGAACCACAATCATTCCAAAGAAGAGCCCAAAGCCCGGCCGGAGGGAGAAACTCCGGGCAGCTTCTCTTCCCTCCATTCATTGCCTGCCGAGGACGAATTCTATTACCCTCGTTGTGGGGCGGGGATTCCGGGCTGCTTTTCCATGCACAGAGAGAGCCTCAGGTGAACGGAGGTGTCGGCGAGGGAGCGAGCTGTACACTCCCGCGCTGCTCGATCGCCCGCGGTCGGAGGGAGTCTCCTGCTGCCTGGATGCCTTTGTCCCTTCCCGCCAGGAGTTGGCTGGAGGCGGCCGAGCTTTTCTTGGGGGAGAGCATTAAGGGCCCCCACCCATTCCCGCATCCTCTTGGAGCAGCTCTCGGTAGCGTCCCCCTCCTCTTTTTCTTCCTCTCCCTCCTCCTCCTCCTCCTCCGTTCGGCAGCCCTTTCGGCTGGACAGCGCCAACACGAAGTTTCCGCGCCAGTCCGGAGACACCAAAGTTGCTGCCGTCGCCGCTGCAGGTAACGGAGCACAAGGCGGCGGCCGGCGGGGAGAAAGCGGTAGTCTTTGCCTTCGGGGCAAGATGAGCTGCGAGGGGGCGACGCGGAGGCCGGGTTAGGGGCTGACCCCCGCAAGTCTCTCTCCCTGCCTTCCTCTCCCATTCATCCTCCCGCGGGAAGGACGGCTCGAGCGCCTCAGCTCACCCCCCGGGGGCAGAGAGGACCCCCCCGGGCATGCTGCCTGGAGGATGCTGTGGTTCCCGGTGAAGAAGATCCGGAAGCAATTCAAGTTGCTGCTGCTGCTGGTGCTGCTCACCTTCGCCGTGTGGTTCACCTACCTGCACATCAACCTGGTGCGTCAAGGCAAGGCGCTGCGCTTGCACTTCGCCTACGGCCGGGGTAAGCAAGTGGGCGGTCCCCTCCCCCCCCCACTTTTGATGCCTTTGCTTTCTCCCGCCCGGGAGCGGTACCCCACCTTGCTTGCAATTTCCCCAACTCTCCAATCCCCGCGCTATCCTTTGCTTCCCTTCTCAGCGTCTCTTTTGAATTTAAATATTGAGCCATCTGTAGAAGAGTTGCACAGAACCGTGCTCATCCTGTCTGGTGTGATTAATCTGGAATAATACCAACTCTCATCTACAAGCAATAGGGCAGGAATATTTGCAAAGCAAGGAAGGAAGTGCTGTCCTATGTCAGGGTGCTCAGTCAGGGTGCGGTAATGGATTCAGGGGTAGCAAATAAGCGGTCTAAATTATCTTTGTGTTTTGCATATCTTTCTGATCTTTCCTATCTTTTCCCTTTGATCCATTAAGAAATCAGTGTCTTTAATACCTTGGAAAGGAATATTCAGAGCATCCGGAATAGGCTTCATACCTGCTTGTTATCCAGGAATGCTGAGCATCTAACTTCTGAGGCTGCATAATTGTTTTATGTAAACTACATTCATGCAGTCTCATTTGGAGGCTAAGGCAGTGAATTACCTGTTTAGCCTCTGGCATATTTGAGAAGACAGTTTGGTGTAATAGTTAAAGGCACTGGACTAGGAGCTGTGAGAATGAATTATTTTCATCTCTGAAGCAATAAAGCCAGCTAGGTCACTTGGGCCAGTCATTCTCTCTAAGTGCTAGGAAAAAAGGTATTAGCAGAATCAGTTCTGAAAAATATTGCCAGGAAAACCACATAGGCAACCATGTAGTCACCATGGGGTTCATTTGAGAGCCCCAAACTCATAGTTGGGAAACATAATTTGAGAAATGATGAAGTCAGTTGGTTTTGTTGAAGAAGGCTGGGGTCTATAACCACTTGGTTATATTTTATTTTTCTAATGCTTGCATGATTGTAAGATGCCCTTTTTGCAAAACCTCTGAAGGTATGTGTGTATGTTTGTCCATAAATGGTGGTATTTCATAGCAGCGACCTGCAATTACCTGAATTGATCTCAGTTCAAGGGCTTGAATTGATCTCAGTTCAAGGGCAGCTGTCAGATGTTTATTTCTATCAATCTTGATCTGCTAAGGGACGGCCTCCCAGTTGCTGAGAATCTCTCTCTTTTAATGTTAACAGGAAAACTCTTGCAAACTCTGCAGCCCAACCCTATGCGGGTTTATCCTGAATCCCCCAAAGTGTTCAGCTGGATTTTGTAGCTAGGTTTGCAGGTTTCATTTCCCCATCTGAGTTCAGAGGAGCCCATAGAAGAGCTTCTGTGCACTTAACTGGTTCCAGAACTGAGGTCAGGCACTTGGCTACAATTTCCAACAAGCTGTCTAAAATCCTCCAGGTCTTTAGTCTTCGTGGCAAAATGTTTGTAACAGCAGCTCAATATTTCTTTAGAGCTGGACTGAATAATGATTTCTGAATCCAGCACACAGAGCTCTACTGTATATCTTGGGGGGAAAAGGAATTCCTAAGAGCATGGAAAATGTAGCTTTTTTTTCTATCTGAGTCAGTTGCTGAACTCATACACGGGCTGAGAAAAGAGAAGCCATAGCCATAATGTCTTCTTTATGCCATTTGAATCTCAGGGGTGACAAAGGAGGGCTTTGATCTCATACAGATTAAGGAGGTAAGATGGGGGCATGTCCTCCTAGGCTGGTTATTTGCTGAACCAAATCATTCCTTAATGGTCAAGAAGAAATGGGAGAAATGTCAAGAGGACAAAGAATAATGAAGTGAGTTAGGGAAAATCCTTATGATTACTTCAAATTTTTAATTTTTAAAAATGTTTTAAAACTTCCGGTTGCTGATTGACTAGAGGAAGTAGAATTTTTTGGAATGGCCATATAATCAATTTAAGTTTTAAAATGAAAACCAAGTTTGTGAATTTCACTGAGTCTATGAAAGATGACTTAAATTATATGACAGACTTTGCTCATTTGCTAAGCCATAATGGGTAGTTGTCAGATAATGCAATTGCAGCCAATTGTGATTTATTCAACAGATTATGATTAAGCCATGGTTTACTATGATGTTTCAGATTACTGTATCTGTAATTTGCAAGCTCTGTGTTGTTTCTTTTAATCACAGGGCATTTGTTATATCTTAGTGGGAGTTTAATTTGGAGTCCTTTTTGTAACAGAAAAAAGAACGCATTAATGGACCTTCTTCTGACCTGAAATCTTAGATGCTACAAATTGACTGTACACTGTTCTACTATAGAGGATGATGGAAATAGATTTAAGAAGATTTTGGGACTTCAGCATAAGTTCTTACTTGTTCTTCCATTCAGCTGCATTTTTTTTTATAATGAATTGCTTTTTATTTTAGTTTTGCTTCAGGAAATAAAAGTGTAGTTTGAAGTAACTTGGTTTATATCACAATGATCCAGAAAACATATTTAGCTTATTATAAGTAGACATATCAAAAAAAATAATGTGCCTAAAGTGCTACATCTGGCTCTTCTACCTGACATCTCTGCCTCCTGATCACCCCATAGAAGGTTGAAGTGTCCTCCTTGGTCCTGCCTAGGTATTGTGTTATAAATGTGGAAATACACATAGCTCAATTGTCTCTCTATAAGAGGCAGTGTAGCAAGACATAATGGATGGTCTTATACTTCCTCTCACTGCATGGGCAGAGATGGTGCTCTTTAGAAGCATTGTAAAATCTGCTCTCCTCAAAAGCAGGTAGAATGGCAATGTAAATGCACTTCTGGTATTTTAAGATGCAATCCTAAACAAATAATGGATAGAAGCAAGTGTGTCACTGGGATGAAGTAAGATGGAGCTTGGCTGCAATAATTTTGCAGATCAGCATCTCTGGATTATTGCTTAAAGAATGATATAGTTAGTTCAAAACCCAAAGAGAAGAATTCCTAGTACCTCAAGGGGGAACAAAGTGATTTCCACCAAGAAGATTGAAATTTAACTTGTAGGGTCAAACTACTTGATTTGAAAATTAATTTAAGCCATAGCTAGCATGTGCAAGTCCTATCTGCACTCAAGTTTTATTAATGTCAATCTAGTCTTTCCCTAAATAATTGTACTAGAAATCCATTGTAGCACCTGAAATATGTCCATTAAGAAACCTGATTGAATGGCTTCTAATGGGTCTATGGCTGAGGAATTCTGGGAGTTGAAGTCCACAAGTCATAAAAGGGCCAAGTTTGAAGACCCCTATTCTATAGGCACATACTAGTTGGAAGCCATAATATAGCTGTGTTATTTTTTGGCTTAAAAACTTTTGGTTTACCTGGTAAACTGGTAATCAGATTATCAAATTCGGATACTTCTGGTTTTTCTAAATACTTTTGCAGAACCTATGATTTTCATAAAGCTGCTTGCTCATAATAATCAAGGGAGAATTACATCTGAAGTTATACATTTGGAACTGAACTTTAATCTCTATCTTCAGATGAACTGATGATACAAAATTATTTCACAGGACTATTTTTCTTTACATTGCAAACAGAGCCTGTGTTTTATGGTAAAACATTTCAACATCGAGCCTATATTAGATATAAAAAATGGGGAGGAGGATTGTTAGACTTCCCAGTAATCTTTTATTGTTTATTGATCAAAGCTTATTGAATAAGTGTTTGTGTATTGTGGATATTTTTTTAAAAAAATAATGATTAACCATTAGGAATTATTTGGAAATCTTACTCATTTACATGCGCATATCAAAATGCAAATTCCTTTTCTTCCATTTAATCATGTCTGATTCTCAGAGATTGCCTGGACAAGTCCCAGCTGTTTTCTTGGCAAGGCTTTTCAGAAGTGGTTTGCCATTGTCTCCTTCCTAGGGCTAAGAGAAAGTGACTGACCCAAGGTCATCCTACTGGCTTTGTTCCTAAAGTGGGACTAGAACTCTTATCTCCTGGTTTCTAGCTTAATACCTTAACCAGTACACCTCTCAAACTGAGTCTCAGTTTCAGTGTACAAAGAATGACTATATTCAGGAAATAAGAGGACAAATACATATGACTCTGGAGCTTACCAGTACTATTATAATTGTTTGATTTATGCAACTTTTAAATATTATTGTGCTGTCATGGATAGCTTTGTGGAGGCTTTGATTGCACTTGGGCATGGTGGTATGCAAATAGCTTTGGCCAGCCTGGAGAATGACTTTTATTGTAGCGAACACAACCTTTTTGGTTGTGTGAAGTCAGCAGTAGCCTTTGCTCCCATTAGCCACCAGCTTAGACTTAGAAGCCCCAATAGTTATTGGTTGCAGTCTTTCCTAACTGATCAGCTTAAAAAAGTAATAATGGATGACTTTTGTTCTGTTCCTTCTTCTTTGTCTTTTGGGGCCTGCTCTGCTCTATCTTATTCCCAGTACTTTTAAAATTAAGGAGTGGGAACCCATGACCCTCTAGAGCAGGGGTAGTCAACCTTGGCTCTTTTATGACTTGTGGACTTCAACTCCCAGAATTCCTGAGTCAGCTGTGCTGGCTCAGGAATTCTGGGAGTTGAAGTCCACGAGTTATAAAAGAGCCAAGGTTGACTACCCCTGCTCTAGAATGATACTACTGAACTAACCAACTCAACCAACTTGACCATTGATGAGGAATGCTGGGAGCTGCATTCTCAATCACAGGCTGACTATTTCTCATTTATATGAAACTATCGTCCAGCTAAAGAATTGGATTTTGATATTAATATGCTGTTGACTCACAGGTATCTGAATTCCGTTCCAGAATGAGAATGAACAGCTGAAACTTAAAAATAGAGGTTTTGTGGGCTGGGAACCTGGCTGATCTGGAGAATATGATACAAGCTGTTCTGGATGGGATGTTTTTTTCCATGAAGAAGCAGGTACAAAGCTTGGGCTAACCCTGTATTCATTGTAGCTTGAGAGGTACAGTTGGCAGCCGCAGTCCGGAGTGGTTTTGACAAGATTCACCTTATTCAAAATCTTGGATTTTAATTAATATGTAAGATGAGATATCAGTGCTTTAT